AAAAAAAAAAAAAAAAAAAAAAACTCTGAGCCTTCATAATCTTCAGAGCGCTTCTAAAATTTTGTCGCGACCTCGCGGTCGAGAACAGCTTGCGCACCTCCGCACGAAGATATCTTCCTCAATAGCCCTTGACATTCATCTAGACAAAGTGAAACACCAAAACATCAGGAAATGAATCTAAATCTCAGATCAAAACCCAGACGTTTCGGTTACCTGTGAAAACTTGACCAGCATCAAACCGGAACGTAATCGTAGGTTTTTACTTTCGATCAATCGATTGGGTAATTGCTGGTGGATTCAACCGAAACATCCCGGGGTTCACTTTTAAAACTTTAGTACGGTCCTCTGCGTCAATATTGACCGTATTAGAGACGAAGTCATTTTTAGGTATAATCGCAGTGGAGCTCAACCACATCAGCTATTAACCCGCAAACCGGTGGAAAAATGTGGACATTTTGTGCGATATCTGACAACGCACGATCCCGGAAGGAGCTCGGAAGCTTACTGTTCACTGCTTAGTACCCACCTCCAGTCATAAAAATATCAATTCACTGAATTATGTCAACAGCCAGCTCGACACCCCCAAGTTCTCCCGAACCTAGGCACCCCATTACCCTCCCCCCTCTCTGCGCCGCCGCTCGCTGCCGTCCGATACGAGTTCCTCACTCAAAGGATATCCGTTGTGCGCCGCCATTTACATGATTAAGCTCTCTCACGCCTTCCAAAGTCCCCGCTTTTGGCAGTAGTGGCTGGCTTCACTAAGTTTATGGTCGCCGCCTTTTTTTTCCTGTTTTGCGGTAGCTCGGCGCAAAGTAGATGCAGCGGCTGAGCGGCGTACGTCTTGTGGTCTTTGTCGACCCGGTGAGAAGGAATTATCGCACCTTACGAATCCGAAATCCCGAAATTTAGCACGCGATAAAACCTGACTCGTAACATTGATCTCTTGGAAATGTTTGGTCCATCCTTACGCCCTTTCGACTCAGGGTTTCAATCTGACTTGTCTTTTTGTGAAATCCCAAATCAACTTTTCAAAAAGCTGCGTGCCTTTTCGTTTCACGTGGGGTTCGCTCAATGGGAATTCAGAAAAATCATTGTGTCGTTCATTCCAAGATCATGAGCAGCGAAGATAGAGGGGGAGCACTTTCCCTCAAAAATGAATGTTTGTGATTTTCAGGAAACTTCTACCTTTAGATCCCCTTCCTTATGAGCAATTTTTAACCCGAAACTCCGACCCCCCCCCCTCACTTTTCTTCCTACGAAAATTTGTTGGCTACGTCACAGTGAGACCCCTTTCCTAAGAAATTGTTTTTTACTGAAGACGCCCTCCTCCCTATGAAAATGTGTCGGCCAGGTCGCTGTGAGTAGCCATAAGAGTCAGGAGATATCAGCAGTAATAAGCTTAGTCTCCTTAATCAATAAATTATCAGCGAAATCTAAATCTCGCACCTGTATGATAATCTGGTGTTTTAAACAAAGGTCGTGATGTCAGCAATAGTGTCCAATCAGAATAATCCGAGACAGAATAATACGGGTGCACCCTCAAGTTCACTCTCCCGTCGCCCGTGCTGCGGTTCCAGAGAAAAATTAGCCGGCCCGAGTTTTTTGCAGCGCTCTGTATAAACGAAGTAGCAACAATTTTATAGTAGGAAAGCTTCCAATCTCCCCGCTCGCCCTGCTCTGTCTTGTTTTTTACTCTGTATACCAATACGATTGCTTTCTGAACAAAATACAGCTGATGAATTCGGTTTTCAATGCCCATGTTGACATGTGATCGGGAAAAAGAATTTATTTTCCACTTCCGGTAACGTGTGAGCATATAAGTCAAGTTGCATCTGCCCTTTCTTTCGACTACATGTTCTTACGTTAAAGTAGCTTTGAAAGCCTAGGAAAATAAATCTAACTTAACATCATTTGAAATTATTATTTTCTTTGGTAATGTATGTTCTAAAAAGTTTATTTTTTGTGCTCGCTAAGTTCTCACCGGAAATTTTAGCTTTTTTCTTCGATCAACGTTCATCCAACTGATCTTTTCTTACTCGCATTTCTGGGTGACGATGCTAAAATTTGACAACACCGGCTCTTTCCTATGAAAGAAAAATTAAAAATCGGCGGCCTATTTTAAGGTTATAATTTCTTCAGTCAGTTTGTGTAGTTTTGTCAGAGCGGCGTATACTACGTCTCATTAATATTGTTGCAAATACTAGTGTTCAAGTTCGGTGTGTATTTTCCGCAGTCTTGAACGTCGTAAGGAACGTCCTCGAGACAGTCAAGTAAGTGAATAGTAAATTTGTACCATCTTTACATACAATTTGATCCGGACTTAATATCAGCCAGTACCATAATGCCATTAATTTCAAGACAAAGAATAATCTAAAAAATTAGAGTTTTAGAGGGGTTAGGAATATAACAATTTCGTCTCATAGGTATTATGTGTTTTATAAGAAATCCGTCAGTCTTGGCTTGTGGTTAGCCAGGTATAGCACTAGAATAGGGCGCACCAGATGCCAAAGGCTTGTAGTATTTTCCCCACCTCAGGATATGGCGAATTTTTTGGCCGCATACCAGGTTGACAGTATAGGATGTGCTATTTTTTCTATCGTAGATTGTGTACGTGTATTTCTCGTTGTAATGAATGAAATAACGGAAAATGTCCCTTCCCCGCTCTTTTGATCAAGTTTTAACAGCCGTGAAATTGAGACGATGGGAAACAGATAAGTGTGCTTATCTTTTCTTTTTATCCTCATCCAAGTTTCAGATGAGATGATGCTGCATGGGGAAAACTTTTTCTCCCCCGCCCTCCTCCCCGGGCCCCATCTATCCACCAATTTGTCCTTTTCCTCGTTCTCGTAACAATCCAAGCACCACTCCATCCACCTCGTCCTCCTCGTGAACTTCGCCTCATCAAGATGAGAATCCTGCTAGTTTTTTCTTCTTTGTCCGCCTGGGCATTTGTATCCATTCGTTTATTTTCGAAAAAAGGAACAAAATACGCAACATATCTTATTACTGGTCTCGAGGCTTGAATTGAGTCACAATTTCGACAGGGACAGCTTTTTTGCACATATTTGCTCATTCCATTATTTGCACTTCACTTCGCAAATTAGGGACCAAAATTTGTGGCTCATCCGTAGAAACACGTATGTACCTAGAGAAACTAATGGACGTACGTTTTTTTTTTTTTTTTTATTAAACTGAGCCAGAAATTGAAGCGTTGGGTGCAGACAAGGCATATACTGGTTGCAATGTCTTATAATTACCGCTTACGTTTCATTCATTATAATTAATTCAAATTTGTGGATATCGTTGAAACTTTTTCTGAATTTTCTCTTAGCTCTCACAATGCTGAAAACGAAAAATTCAAACGATTCACTTTATAGTTTCCTCCTTAAATTATTATTAGCGGTGGAGATTCTGAAATACCGCAACCAGGAAATGCCCTCTCTGCACTCAACGTCTCAATTTTAGTTCCAATTTACTGTATTTAGTCAGTTTTATTTTTTGTGCAACCGATTTCGCTGTGTTAAATAATAATTATTCAAGGAACCTTTCATTAATTTCACGATTCATTCACGTTCGCATATTTTAAAGAAGATATTGCTCGGCATTTTTACCTCCTCGTTTTTTTTTAATAGGCATCACATAACATACTAAAGTAGGAAGTCTTGATTTACGACGGTATTGAGTCACACTTAAACTATTTTCAATTATTTGGCTCTTCGGCGAGTAGATTTACCTTTCTAGAGTTCAATGACTAATTCCTAGGTCCAGATTCTTTGAAACAAGGTTGACACTTTTTCAGTGACTTCTTTAACTGTCAGAGCTCATACGTGTGTATTCAACTAGGAATGTTTTAAGCAATAAAGTGGGATTAATGATATTCTTTTTTCGCCGGATCTGAAATTTTGTCATCATCGTGACGTATTGAGACAATCAAGGAATTGCCAATTTTGCATGGCGTTCACCGAGAAAGAAGATTCGTAGAATTTACCATTCTTTTGATTGCTCCTCAGCCTCTTGTTATCTAATAATATCAAGAACAGAGAAAGGATTACTCAAGGATCAAAATCGTAAACCAATTTTAAAATCCAGCCCATGAGATGCATGCACTGAAAACAAATTCTCGGCGTTTTTACGAAGGTCCATTGGTACCTTTACCATCTCACTTTTTTTTACCAATTATTGGTGTGATGCATAAGGGCATTATCATGCACCACTTGGCACTAGCATCACCCACCACTCATCGCTCATTAGCACCGGTCTAAATATACGCTGGACTACACCAGCCCTCAGGCTGGACCATCGCATATTTAAGCCCGATGCAACTGATCGATGGGGACTTATCCCATCTCAACTTATCTCGTGTCACCTTCGGATTTCCACAGAGTCACTCTTGCATCCCCTGTGTGGCCGCGCCGAGGTTGTTCGGAGTTCCGTTGCACTTGCACTCTGTGTTTCCTCACTCCATTCCCTTTTTTAGCGTTGCCGACCCTTTTCCCAGGGCCCGCATCACAACTGGTGGCAGCGGCGTTTCGCTACCAACGCCCCCGATCTTTTCTCCCGTCGAGAAAAAACCCCGATCTCTTCTCCCGTCGAGAAGAATCCTGATTCTTTCTCCCATTGAGAGGAATCTCGAGAGTCCCGACTCTCAAAGAAAAAATTCTGAAAAAGACCAGTGCGCAGGTCTCTGAATTTTTTCCCGTGCAGCGATCTGAAGATACCATGGCAGCCAGCGGATTTCAAGGGTGAGTCGTTAACTGAGATCCTTCTTTGTATTCTTTTTCTGTAGTGCCAGATAAGGAAACAATCAAGTGTCCCCCCGACCCGTGAGATAAGTTCAAGAACTCTTAAAGTTCACATTTTTTAGTTTGTAAGAACTCTTAAAGTTCACATTTTTAATCATAAGAACTCTTAAAGTTCACACTTTTAAATAGTAAGAACTCTTAAAGTTCATAATTCAAGAACTCCAAAAGTTCAGACCTTAAGTCTATTAAGTAACATATGCTTGCATTAATCAATTAAATCTGGAGCGAATTTTAGAAAAATATCAAATAGCCAGAGACATCCGAGACGTACAATTGCACCTCAGTGGATTTGAAGATGCACTCGTAGTTGAAAAATTTGAAAAAATTATATTTGACAATTTGTACATCCACCCTTCTGAAAGGCATCTAAAAAGAACAGCCATTGAACAATTCGAATACAATCCTTCAAGACCTCTCAGACAAAAAGTAATAATAATTGAAGAATTTATTCGCTTTTGCAATTATATGGGCTTTCATGCTGCATTTCACAAGGACTGGATTCCAAACATTCCTCTTAATATTCGTCAATTCACCAGATGAAAAGATTAATGTATACATATCCTCTTGTAGAAAGCATTCTCTACATTGAAGCGGACATTAAAAACAACGTTGATCCTGACTTCATAATTAATACTTTCGAATACGTAATCTTTAGTAACACTTACGAATCAAGTGAAGAAAAAGAATTGGTAGAAATAGCCAAAGACTTCTATGTACTTTTAGATGTGCATGACACAAAATTGGGCCAAATTAAAGAATTCATAGAGTACTGTTACTTAGACGGCTTTGAGAGAATTTTTCAATAATTGTTTTATTTTCTGGCATTATTAATTGTATTTACCTTTTTCTGTGTCCATTCAATTGCATAGTGATCAAAAGTGTGACAAACAAGTTCAGTTTATAGAATAATTACAGATATATTACTTTTCTACTTTTTATAAACATTTTTACAAAATGGCTTCTCCCGATGGTACGAACAACTCAGAGCAGGGCTCCTCCGGAGACTCAGCCACAGCGTTACCTACGAACAAACAACAAGACAAATTAATCGCGATGATGTTGGAAAAAATGCCGCGATATTCTGTTAAATCTTATGAAACCATTGACATATTTTTCAAAGAATTCGAAGAAATAGCCACTCTGGCAAAATGGTCCGATGCCATGAAATTTTATTTTTGCAAAACCAAATTAGGAGTGGACGCGACCACTTTTCTCAAGCAACATCCTCAGTTAAAAGTTGAATACGAAAGTTTAAAAGAGCTTTTAACAAAGAGATATGAGAGAGAAAAGGATGAGGCAGTTGAAAAAATAAAATTTTTCAGTAGAATCCAAGAAAAAGGCGAATCGGTCAGGGATTATGCGACCGCGTTAACTAAATTGGGCTATAAGAGTAAGGAAACTGGAGCCGATGAGGCTGAGGAGGCGATTTTGCAAAAACAATTATCCGTTCAATTAAAAACTATATTTCTTAAAGGTTTAAATGAAAAATTAAGACGTTTTGTCATAGTGCGCCGCCCTAAAACTTTTGAAGACGCAGTAAAAGAGGCAACCTTTGAAGAGGACCAAATTACATTGAGAACATGTGAATTTTGCATGAAACAAGGTCACTTAGAAAATTCGTGCCGTTTAAAAAATAATAATAAATCTAGAAATAATTTTGAGCATCGCCTCCCAAGCCCAAGTAACCGCCCTAACTCTTATAGAGCCCCACAAAACGGAAAGGCATTCGCGCCAGGAAATGATAGGAATAGGCAACCCTCCCAACAAGGTTTCAAAAAGGATTACTCAAGGGAAACTAACGAGCGTAGTACTTATTCCAGGAATAACACATCACGAGGTAATTACTCACGAGGTGACAATTCTCAAAGAAACTATAATCGTGGTAATTACTCGGGAGGTGCGATTCCTAGGAACAATTACTCGAGCAACGAATATTCACGAAATAACAACTCTGCTCCACGCTCACCCTCACGTGACAATTGGCCACGAATCGAGGGACGCAGAAATGTTCAGGAGAGTGAAGGGCGCCAGGCCCCAAGAAATTGTGAAAGTAACTCTCCCAGTTACAGTTCTGCCGTAAAAATGTCTTCTAATTCCTACCAAAAAGAACGAAATTTTCAATAAGCCCCACTGGGAGTGGGGCCTCGAACTTTTCACCATCCGATTTCCCTACAACTTGTGTAATAAATCTCGAAAAAGACGACTTGGGTTACATTGCAAAATTCAAGGTGAAAAACATGGAAATGCCCATTAAATTACTAATTGACACGGGCAGCATGGTAAGCATTTTGAAGGGGAAAAATTCGTGTCACGTGACGCACGAACAATTTATCAATCCGAATAAACGCGTTTATCTTACAAATATTAGTCAATCACAGGTTCTCACCGCAGGAACTGTACATGTACCTCTCATTTATGATAACCATATGTTTCAACATGAATTTCATGTTCTCGATTGTGACACTACGGATACGGTAACCGGGATTTTGGGCATTGATTTCTGTGACAAGTATAAGGTAACTCTAGTTCTTCCAGAAAATCGCATGCTCATGTCCCTGAGTGACTCATATGCGAATATTTTAAAAGTCAGCTCAGGAATAATAAGAAAGGTCCCTTGTGAGAGCCACAGTTTGGAAAATAACCCTCCCTCAAGCTTGTACTCAATCCAGAAAACAATGCCACGAATCCGACCAGAAAATGCAGAAATTCCAGCATTTCCCCGAGATGAGAAAAATCAGAGAGACTTTTCTCTGGGAAACTCTTCACCGAATGATTCTCCGGGACGAAGACATTCCACTAAGTCTTCACATATAAATCGACAATCTCAGAATTTTTCACAAAAAACCAGTTTTTCTAAGGAAAAACCGGAATTTTCTGAAAAATCGAAAGAAAGTAGACAGGAACACAACTTACTTTTTGTGACTGCTCCAATAAATTTAAGCCCTAATTCAGTAACTCAGGTGGATTGCATAGTAAAATTTAAGCATAATTTTGAACTTGGTTTGAATTACAAATTTTCTCCTCATCAAATTTCCAGGAATGGGTTAATTCACTCAGCTCATTCCATCATTTTTGTCAACCAAGAAATAGTAAAAATTCCAATTTTTAATGAATCCAATAAATCAGCTTTCATAAAATCAGGGGCCATGGTAGGAAAATTAAGGAAATCCATTTATCCACAAAATTGGTATCCTACCGGAAAAATGGGCGAATCCACAAAATCGCCGATGGAGCAGAAAAAGTCAGTTGTTGTTACCAGAAATTCTAATAATGTTGTACGTAGAAATGACAAATTTAAGCAGGATTCTAGGTTTAAACATTGCGTGAATATTCCGAAGGAAAATTACCGCAAGTTTGAGCCAGGAAATGCTAAAAATCATGGAAATTTTTCACAGCCTCAGGAGCGTTATCTTCAATATAAGGGTCACGTCAGTAAAAAACCAAAATCGAGTCAATTTCGTCACCAAAATAATGACCGGAAAAAAACCAGTAACAATAACTTTGCGTACAAAAATAACCGAGGACAGCGCACAGATCATCAGCGCCCGCGGGTAGAAAGCTCACGCTCACAAAATAACAAATTAGAGTCCGATCAAAAATCTAATTTTGAGTACTTGACTACAATCAAATTAGCCAAGGATACAGTGTTGCCGCCTAGAGCAGAATTTATTTGTGACGGTTCTATTAAAGATAAGCATAAAGTTCAAATTGGTAAATCTTATTATTTTGAACCTGTGCCTTTTATTGAAGATAACGTTCTGGCTGCAAAAGCTCTAATTACAGTATTGCCGAATTCTCAAATAATGGTAAAGGTAATTAACGTTAACAACAAGGAGTTAGCTCTGCAAAAAGGCACCCTTTTAGGACATCTCGATCCCATTGAAACTCTTTCAGTAAATTGTCATAGCATTTCGTCAAAACCTTGTAATCGTTTTTATATGGAGAGTCCACCAAAACAAAAAGTAAATGTAGATTTATCACATCTCCCTCCCGAGAAACGAGAACCTTTGCAAAATTTACTTGACGAATATAGCGATGTTTTTGTGTTAGATCCGAATGAAAAAGTTCAAACTACTCCTTTGCTAGAATTTGAAATTCCAACAGGTGATGCCAAACCCATTTATACTAGACAATATAGGCTCCCCTTAGCACAACATAAGCAATTGAAAGATATGGCAGAAAAAATGGTAGAAAGGGACATTCTAGAGAAAAACATCCCTAGTCCCTGGAATTCTCCAGTAATAGTTGCAATGAAGAAAACTAAGGATGAATATGGTAGGCCCAAAATTAGATTCATAAGTGACTTTAAGAAAATTAACCAAGTAATTGACGCACCATCCTTCCCCCTCCCCCTCCTTGAGGAACAACTGGATAGTCTTGCGGGAGCAACTAATTTTTCTACTTTAGACTTATCAGATGCTTATTATAGTCTTGCAATAAAAAAAGAAGATAGGCCAAAAACGTCGTTTGTCCTCAACAACACGACTTATAGATATAAAAAAATGGCAATGGGAATCAAAAATAGCGCTTCTTGCATGGCTAGGTTAGCTCAACTGGCCTTTAATGATATGATTGGGACCGACATTTATGTTTACATGGATGATATTATTCTGGGATCCCGTGGAGACTACGAAGAACATTTAAAAGCTTTGGAAAGGTTTTTCATCAAACTTAGACAGGCAAAATTAAAGGTAAATCCCCAGAAATGCGTATTTTTTAAGGAAAGAATTGACTTTTTAGGTCACACTATTAGTGCCAAGGGTCTTGAACCCAATAATTTGAAAATTAAAGCAATTGCAGATATAAGGTACCCCACAAAGCTCAAGGAGCTACAATCTTTTCTAGAAATGACGTCATTTTACAGGAAATTCATAAAGGATTACGCGAAAATAGCGCATCCTTTGACCCATTTACTCAAAAAGGATGTGCCGTTTGAATTTGGTCCTGCACAACGTGATGCATTTAACGCCTTAAAACATAGTTTAACAAACTACCCTGTGCTTAAGCTTCCGGAAGCTGATAAATTATTTGTGTTAACGGTTGACGCCAGTCATTATAGTTGTGGCGCAATTTTGGAACAATATGATGACGACGGCAATCTGAGACCTGTGGCATACGCCAGCAGAGCCTTCAATAAGGTGGAACAACAAAGATCAACCATTGAAAGGGAGTTTGAAAGCATATTATTTGGAGTTTCACATTTTAAAATCTACCTATGGACAGTGTTTTTCATTTTACGATCTGATCACTTGCCTTTGAAGGGAATCGCTTCCATTCCGTTCAAAAATGATAGATTAGCGAGACAAGTGCTCTACTTGCAACAATTTAATTTTGAATGTAGACATATACCAGGTAAACGCAATCCGCATGTTGATGCTCTTAGTAGATTACAAACCAATATTCACAAAGTTGCCAGCAAAAATGCATTGTTGCCAACTTTCTCTAGAAATCAAATTCGATCACTCCAAATGGATAACTCTTTTTGTAGAGATATAGTCCGTGAATTAAAATCAACAGGAAATTTTGACAACAAGGATTGCCAATATTTCCTGGATGATGACAAATTACTCTACAAAATCAGAAAATCACCGGAAACTGAAGACAGACTAGTAGTACCGCCGCAACTGATCCCTCGAGTTTTGGAAATTTGCCATGATAAATATCCATGTTCACATGCAGGCTTTAATAGAACTCTTGAGTTAGTTCAGCGCAATTTCTATTGGCCAAACATGCATAATGATATAAAGAATTATGTTGCGAGTTGCGAGAAATGTACAATGGGCAAGAAATCAAAATTCGAGAGACCAGCACCATTACAAGCTTTTGACACCCCGAAATATCCATTTTACAGACTTAGCACTGACATTATTGGCCCCTTGCAAAGGACGGACAAAGGCCATCTGTACTGCCTACTTTTTACAGATCATTATTCGAAGTTCTTAATAGGTTTTGCCATAAAAAATCAATCGGCTGACACGGTTGCCAAATGTCTAGCTAAGGTAGTAACCACTTATGGGGCTCCCGAATATTTACTCTCAGATAAAGGAAAAAATTACACAAGTAAAATTATTGAAGAATTATGTAAATTTCTGAAAATTAATAAAATTCAAACTACTGCTTTTAATCCACAGTGCAATGGTATGAGTGAAAGAGCGAATCAAACCATTAAAAGCTTGATGACGTGTTGTTTAGATAATGGGGACAGAAAATGGAATGAAACACTTCCACACGTCATTAGTGCAATAAATAATACTCAAAACAGCGTAACTAAGTATGCACCTAGCTATCTTTTCTTTGGCAGGCATGTCAATTTGCCGTTTGATGATTTTTACAAACCACGTAGGATGACTTACAACATTGACTCCAACTACGCAGTAGAGACTGAGCAACGTATGAAATTCGCTTACCAGACAGTACAAGATAGGTTACAGAAAAGTGCCGAATATAGGAAAAATTATTATGACAAGAAAACTAAAAATCCTGAATTTTTCGTTGGACAGGAAGTAACCCTTTTTTCACCAGCGCTCCAAAAAGGAAGAGCCCGAAAATTTAATCCAAAATATCCTGGTCGTTACGTCATTATTGGTAAACTTGGTAAAGTTAACTTTAAAATTAAAGACTTAGATCATCCCCGAAAAACTCAAATAGTTCACGCGAATAGATTGAAAAAATTAGTAAAAAGGGATCCAAGACTGAGTTACAAAGAGCGAGACACGGGATGGGTGACAAATATTAACGCGGATTGGCTTAGAAAATATCGGACAGGTCAACTTGACGCGGCGAAGAAGGATAATTCTTCAAACTCTGAAGTTCCTGTTGAAAATTTAATTGATGCCCCTTCCACCTCCTCTACTCCCCATCCTCCTCCCTCATCCCAAGCATCCCAGACGGAGAGCGCAGAGTCCCGAGGAAGCGATGAAAATCCCTTAGATATTAGCATTTCGGACGAAGAAAATAAAAAATTACCAGAAACTTTATCACCCTCAGTTTCAGATTATTCGTCAGATGAACTTAAAACTAGTACTCCCAAAAAATTAATTAGAGTTCACAAGTCAGATTTTAAATCGTCAGAATCAACTATTTCAAGCATTTTGAAAAATTCTAATTCTAGCAACTCAGATAATTCTAGTTCTAGCAGTTCAGAATATTCCAGTTCTAACTACGGGAAAACACTTAGAAAAAGGAAACCTGTTCTAGTTAAAAAACAAAGGAAAACCAAAGGGACAAAAAAGAGAAAAACTAGAGAAACATCAGAATCCCCTCAATTTTTCGAAGACAGTTACTTAGCGTCCGAATATCCCTCCAGTAATGATTCATATAAATCTTTGAAAAACAGTATTTCACCCAATAAAAAGTTATTTTCAAGCAGAGAAAGTTCAGAGAGAAGTGAGAGTAGCCGCACCCCCTCACCTCCCCAGTACTTCCGCGCTCCCCTTCCTCCCTCTCCAGAACCCACCAAAAGAGTTACGCGAAGTATGAAAAATCCTCAACAAATAACGCGACAATCTTCTGAGGAAAAAGAAAAATTACCAATCGGTTTCGATAAATTAATTAAATATCCCGTCCCAAGAAAGTCAATTTTGAAAAAGAAGGGCCAAAGGACCCAATTCATTTTTGAAACCCCCTATAAATTAAGGCATACGCCAGATAGAAGAAGTAGATTTGCACTTACAAAACTATTTAAAAAACAAAAGTCAGAAATTCCAGACTCACCATAGACAAAAGACTTAGACAGCGACACCAAGATGGGAACAACAGGATAACTTTACAAATTTACTGAAAATAAACAATTTCAATTTTCTAAATTAAAATTGGAAAAAATAAATCAAGTTACATAATAATAATCATAGCTATGCTCCCATTCTCCACTTTGTTGCAGGAATGACTTGGACAAACCCCTATTTGACGGGATCTCCGAGCATTTGCAAAGGGAAGATAGAATTAACTTCCATTATGCACTTAGGAGAGAACGCTACCTTAACTTTATGAAACTTGACCAATACCATGTCGAGTACTCTCTCCTGCCCAAGGATTTTATAAGCAGGTTTAAAAACAAACTAGATTGGGACATTTTATCGGTTTTCTACCCTTTCACAGCAGAAGAAATCAGAAAATACAAAAAATTTATTAATTTCTGCCTCTACGTCAGATTTCAACGATTAAAAACCCGTGAAGTACAAAGATATATGTGTATGTGGTATGAGTATGAGTTTGAGTCAAAAGAACCCCCGAAACAATTGTCTCAGCGGCCGTCAAGGAAAACTCGGAGCGAAAATCCATCGTCGCGTCGTAGTATCACTGCAGGAGTAATTCTGAGAAGAAGAGTTCTTATACAGAGAACTTGACATTGGAAGAAATTGCAAAATTTACAATTGCAGCAAGAATTGAGCTCACTTACCTTCGGAAATTTCAAAAAGTGTATACACATTATTTCCCGGGCCCGGGTAAAGATGTCCGGTTTGCTTTCAATAGCCGACGGCGTCAAGTGGAGATGGCTTCCTTTCACTAGGCGGTGGTCACCACTAATAACATTTATGTCACAACATTCACAAAACTCCGAAAAAAGTTTGCCGCTTTTTGCACTTACAATTTGTCATGATTTTTTCTCTTAATTCTCACAGAATTGCTTTCAGGCCTAGCGACGTAAATCGTTTTTTCGCGCACAATTTAATTAAAAATGTATATATTTTTTAGTAAAAATATTTTCTTTTCCAGCTTTTCAATCGTATCTCAGCGTTTAAGTCTCTCGAAAATTTGAAGTGATTAATAAAATAAAAATGGGAAGAAAAACGCCTTCAATTACTAAGGATACTAAAAAATCACGCTAATTTTCTTCATTTTTTTTTCCAATTTTATTCCCTTCTTGTTCAAAAAATTAGGGACATGTAGATATTGCCACTTTTGATCAGTGTACTCGCAACAATCACGATAAGTTGCTTTTGCACAAATACCTTTTTCTATATTTTGATAATATATTCATGTTTTAGAATAATGTCACTTTTTCATTGAAACTATTGAATTACAATTCATTTTCGAAGAAACATCTGATAACTCAGCTACAAAAGTTAGCGATAGCTGATCCAATTTCACCTAATTATGCCTTTAAGCGTCAATATCAGACAGAAGTCGACGATAGCCCGAGCGCCGCTATCCATAGCGCTTGCGCAAGGCGCCGAACACAATTAGACCCAGACTGGGATTTCAACAGTAATCGCACTAATTGTAAAACTCACCGAGTTTCAGCGATTACATAGGCTATCACCTTTTATTGTAAGGATCTTGAGGTTTCCGAATCGAACACTTTGCAGAGTTTGAGATACAAAAAAGATCATGTAAAGTTCACGACTCGGACCCCGCCAAAATCCTGATCGCAATGCTTATAATGAACTACAAAGTGTTTCCTTTTGAAACAATTTTTCAGATTACTACGACGACTGGTAATCATGGCACTCATAACGGGATCACTAGAGGACTTGAATAATGGAATCGTTTTTATCTTTGAGAAGAAATTTGTACTTTCTGGAGACCACTGGACCGTCACCACGGAGATCAATCTGGAGTCCTACTCAAAGGCCATCACAGACCTCACAGGCTCTCTCAGGAAAATCCAGAACGAGTCCTGGCTGACCGGCGAGCCAGACACCCTGGCTGGATACACAAAGGCAGAACTGGCAGAACTTGGGATCTCTCTCCAGGAAATGGACGGGACAATCAAGTCGATGACTGGAGACATCTTCAACGAGGAGGACGCGATGGCTGATAGCAGCGACGTGCACTCCCGAAAAAGACGTCTGACACCCTTTGGATTCATTGGCACCGGCATCCATTATCTGACCGGCTTGGCAACCGTTGACGCGACCAACCACCTCAACGACCGAATCAACAAACTGGGAAACATCCAGAAGGAGCTCCATCACGACTTACAGGAACAAATCACCATTGTCTCAGATATTCATAATTTTCAGAAAATAAGTAAAGAAATAATTAATTCAATCGCAAATTCAACCAAAACTCTTTACGACAAATTTAGTTCTTTTGAGCAGGAAATTTTCAATAGCACTCAATTTAGATTAAATTTGATTACGAAACTCCTGAATGTCCAATTTGTTTTAAAGCACATTCACCTTCAGATTACAAAAATGAATTACTCTACTTATAAATCTCGGAAAAAATCGCCTAAACTCACGCGTTTTTCTAGGTGAAGGCATATTTTATTAATTAAAATTAATCAAATTTTTTAGAATTCTTATACTTGAAAATTCCAAATTATACATTTCATTAATCAAACTTTTTAGAACTCTTAAAAATTTCAGATTAGACATTTTATTAATCGGAATTTTTCGAAGTTTTTAATGTTTATACTTGTAAATTTCAGGATTGGGAAAAAGATTCCTTGTACATCCTTATATGTAAAAACCAACTTTGTAAAATATTCATT